GGCTCACAGATCAGGGGATCTGATACTCTCTTCTGTCCTCAAAGGCACATACGCTTAAAACACATGAAGGAAAACCTAAGATAAAAAAGACAACCAGAAGACATCTATCTCTGCTACTATTCACGTGATGGGCTCACACTGTTAGAAAAGCAGTTCCTAAGTATTAAATCCCTACAGATGAGCTTTAAATTGTTATGATAAAGACCCCAGACACTCTACCAAAAGATTAGAATTTAGGGGAAGACTACTCCAGAAATCTAAACCCCTCTGTTGTTGTTTTGGCTCCTGTTCCTGTTTGTTTGAGGCAAAGTCTCACCATGCAGGTCAAGCTGGCCTCAAACTCAAGATCCCCCCCCCCAGCCTCTACTCCCAAGTGCTGAGATTAAAGGCTTGCAATATCACACTCGGTTCCAGAAGTTTAAACTCTCAATAAGCATTTCCCAGCCCCAAATAACGGGGTACAGGAGGTCTGGGAATCACCCTTTGCACACATTTTAAGTCCTTGTTTACAATCCTAAACTAGGTCTCAACAAATATTCACCTTGAAATGACCAGTAGCCCATTAAGACGGATAAAAATTAAACAAACCGTAGCACAAAAGCATGGGAAAGTTATACAAAGAAAAAGCTGACTTTTCTGTGTCTCAAAATCATATAAAATAGGACCAGTGAGATGACTCAGCAGGTAAAGGCACTTGGCACTGGGCCAGGCAAGCTGAGTGTGGACCCTTGAAGAAGTAACTGGATGTAGTTGTCTTCTAAACTCCACATGCTCGCCATGGCACATACAAGCACATACGCACACACACAAGCACACTAACTTTCTTTTAGCTATGTAAAATGTAAAAGAAGAGGCTGGGACATGGCCCAGCTGGTAGACTGCTCATCTCGAACGCACAAAGCCCTGAGTTTAACCGCCAGCGTGTATAAGATGGGGATACAGTGATGCCTGCAATCCCAGCACTGGGAGGATGGAGGCAGAAGGATCAGGAGTTCGAGGTCACCCTCAACTACACAGTGAGCTTCAGCCCAGGCTGAGTTATATGAGGCCCTGCCTCAAAGATTAATTAGTCGGTTAATTAAATGTAAAAGAAAACTCATTGGAAGGGGGGTATATGATAGTGGGAACAACAAAAACAAATTCAAAGAATACAAATACAAAACAAAAACTCAATACTAAAGAAATGTAAGAGGTGAAAATTAAAACAATGTGTTTCAAATTTAGGTAACAAAAGCATTTAAAAATAATCAAAGGCACCAGGCATGGTGCTGCCCACTGTAATCCTGGCACCGGTTAGGCAGAGGTAGGAGAATCTCTGTGAATTTGAGGCTAGCCTGGACCACATAATGGGTTCCAGGACTACACAGGGAGAAGCTGTCTCAAAAACTCAAAAAATAAATAAATAATCAATGGATATAAGGATGGACATCAACTATGTAACCCTCTGAAGTTTTCATTTTGTTTCGTTTTGTAGCACTACAACTTTCAGAAAACAATTCATTCAGCAACTCCATCCTGAGCACCTTCAAAGTAATCCACACTCAAGCAAAACACAGGAGGCCAGCCTGGCACATATGGCAATTTAATCACTCTACAAATACATGCTTAAAAATAAAGACCTATATATTCGGAAAAACAAAGAGAGACAAAGACTGATCTGTACAGATGTTCACCATAAAATTTATGACAGTCTGGCTGGTCAATGATGTGCACACCTTTAATCCCAGAACTCAGAGGGCAGAAGCAGGAGGATCTCTGTGAGTTCAAGACCAGCCTGGCCTACAGAGAGAGTTCTAAGATAACCAGAGCTACACAGAGAAACCAATCTCAAAACACAACAACAATAACAAAATTATGGCAGCTCAAAAAATTGTGAGTAGATACAATAAATATGTATGTATGTAAATACACATGCATGTGTGTGTGTGTGTGTGTGTGTGTGTGTGACTTCTCACTTTTAGATATTAACAATGAGAAAGAACCAGGCATGGTGGCACGCGTGTAACCCCAGCACACAAGAGGCAAAAGCAGATCACTCACACACAAATTCAAAACTAGCCTGTTCCACATGGGAAGGCCTAGGTTTTATAGCAAAACTCCACCTCGAAAACAAACCAAATCTAAACCATTTACAGCGCCATCTGTGAGCTGTAGAGTTGCTGTGGGTGAGCCACCAACCCCCTTTCTTGCGCTGGGGATTGAACCTGGGGCCTGTGCATGCCACCCAATACTCTACCATGAATCGCAACCCAAGTCCTCGGGGACTGCTTTCTGCACCTTTCATTAATTTCTGAATTCTGCCATAATCAATTTCATGAAGATCATAATTCTTAAATAGATTTGTCCCTGAATAAGGAACAGGGAACATTCTCTTCCTTTTCCATTGTGGCTGGCGGGCTACCTAAAAGCTCTACACTCAAAGAAGTCCCCAAGCATTTCAGATTGTTTCCATAACTGTGAGGTCACAACCAAACTTGTAAATGTTTTCTTTAAAAAGAAAAAAAAAGTGCATTTAAAACACTAAAGGAAACAGAAATGGACAACAGAGCAATACAGCTCTGAAATCTCACAGCTACAACTACCTGGAAATCAAATCCATTGAACCAAAGAGCAAGCTGTTTAAGGCAGGGAGTGTACCATCCAAACACAGCAGGGACCGCTCCTCCCAGAGCTGCAGGCAGGATTAAGGCACCCCCCTTGTGCCCCTAGAACAGCCCTCAGCAAAGTCTCTGTGCCCACACTGCTACTGAAAGTACATCACTAAGATGAGAGGGTCCTGCTGCCACCACCTCCCAGGATCACCAGTTACTGGCCATGACCCGGCATCCCTCAAGCCACCTAAGCATCTTACCAAGCCACCCTCTGCCAAGCTAGTTTCCCAGAGCCTGCAATCAGGTCGCCATCGAGAGGCCATCCCTGAAGACCCTCCACCCAACCGTTCACTCAGAATGGGTACAAACGTCCACGCTAGCTTCCACAGTGGCTTTGTGTTTGCAGTTGGGTCCCCGAGGCTGGGGCCCTGAAGCTGGATGCTATGCACACTGGATCTCTGTGCTCCTGCCCAGAAGCAGCTGTGCAAACTAGAGAAGCCCAATGAGCAAATTAGTGAAAGGAGGTCTCTGCCTCCGTGACGTCAGCTCTAGAAGACCGAATAACTTCGAGTCTCCAGGTTGGACACTTGGATTAGGGCTAGCAGGGAAACAGAAAAGGACTTCTAAAGAAGGCTGAGGTGTAGATCACCCCCCTGTAGACTTTAAATTTAGCAAAATAACCTGATCTTCTGCAGCCTCTCCAGAATACCCAGATGACAAAATGCATGTGGGAAAACACTGGAACCCCAGAAGCTAAGTGTATCACAGAGTCTGGAGCCAGGCTCTCTACACACCTGTTAAGGTCCTCCATGAAGTAGGGATCCTATAGCCTAAGCCCCAGTGTGACTAGGTCATGTATATAAAATGCAACACCGGGCACAGGTCAGTGGAAACAATTACGGTTGGGTGATGAACAACTCCGGCAGAGCCCACCTTTCTCTGCTGACTAAAGGTGAGCGCAGTCTAAAGGTCTGCCCTCCCCTCTCAACACTGGACTGGAGCTCTCATAGAGCGAGAGTGAGAGCTTGGGTAAAGTTTCGCTACCCAGTGTACACAGCCTAAAAGAGACCCACTCTATCAACCTGGCCTCCAGTGTGGTTCCGAGGCAGGGTTCCATCCAGCTAGAGGAAATCTCTGGAGGCCACAGCTATGAACCCAGTCTGTGGGTCAAGAACAGCAAAAGGGAATGGATGTGTATAGCAATTCCTTTCACCATCTAGCCTGTGACCTTGAGCAAGCTGTGTTTGCCTTAATTTCCTCAAGAGTGAGTGGAGCGCGGTCTCATCCTATGTTGCCTGAAGTCCCTTCCTGGCTTCTACTCCAGCATCCCCTTCGTGGGGCCCACAGTGAGGCCCAAGAGACACCTTCAAACGTGCTCCACTCCCTTCAAGCCACTTGGCAGGCCTGGCCCTGCTCCCACAAGCAGGGAGGGCTCTGAGCTTTCTGTTTTTCTTGTGCAGGGTGAAGAAGCTTTCCACTCCAAACTGCCCCTTCCACCTTCCCTTTCCTACCCACAAAGTAGTTCTGGGGCAATCACAGGCTGGCCCGTGTGTCACCTCGGGGATGGTCTCCAGGCCACGCTTCCAATGCACACTCAGTGGGGACAAATAAACATTTCAGAGAGACAACATGAATTAAATCATTTCCTCAACAAACAAAACCCACCCACACGCCTCATAAATCATGTCTCTTAATCCCATGCTGATGAACGGTCACTAAATCGCATCTATTGTAAAACCAACCAAGACTCCTTTCATACCCTGACACTTCAGACTCAAAATATTTTCACACTCCATTGTAATGCCTTTGTAAAGGCAATACCAATAGCTAGTTCCCTGGAAAGATCCATGGCCAGGGCGCTTTCCAAGAGATTTTTCTTTGAATGTTCTTTGTGTCCTGGTGCACTGGGGGACAGGGCCAGCTTGCCTACATCTAGGGGAACACTGACTGCTCACGGCAATACACAACTGCTCTACAGCACACACCAGATGCACCCCTTTGCCCCAACAATAAAAGTATCCCAAAACATTCGCTATGCCACATTCACACGGCTGTGCACAAACACAATTCCAGAGCCTGCATTTTGCAAAGGGGAAAAAGAAAATAGGCATCTTCAGAGCACAAACCAACAGACCCGCCTCGGGCAACATGGTTCACGGAAGGCTAGGCTGCAGACCTTTTCAGCAAGACCGGTCAGGAACCGCTCGCTCTTTTCCTTTGCATCTATTCAATTCCTCCATGCCTTTATTTGCTGGGCCCAGGAAGAATGGAAAAGCATCCCCAGCAAGGAGGGCGAGGGAGCGGTGGAGAATAAAAGATGGGCGGGTGGGGGAAGTCAGAGGGTGGCGAGAGCGGCAGCGAAGGCGGGCAGGGTGGCGGCCGCGTCCCGGGGGGCTCGGAGAGGCTTACCTGGGGCACACGAGGCCGGCCGGGCGAGCAGCAGCAGCCAGAGGCCGGGGAGCAGCAGCCCCGGGCGGCGGTGGCGGGAGGAAGGCCCGCGGCCGCTCCGCCCCGGCACCAGCGCAACCTTGGCGCGGGGCTCGCACTCCATGGCCACGCGTCGGCTCCCCGGCACACCGGCCCCGCGGCTTGGGCGCGCTCGGGCCCGGGACGCGGGCGGCCGCTGCGGCGGGGACTGGACGCCGCGCACCGGCGCGCAGCGAGGCCGGCGAGGCGGGGGCGGGCCGGGCCGGGCCGGATCGGCGGACAGGGGCCGCTTGCACGCCGGCCGCGCCGCTCCGCCCCCTCCCGAGCCTCGCAGCCGCTGCCGGGCAACGCACGGCCCCGCGCGGGGAGGCGAGCACCACCTCCCGGCCGGCCCGGCGTCTGCCTGCGGGCCGCCCGGCGGAGGGCGCGGCGGGTCCCGGGCCCCGCCCTCCCCCAGGACCCGCCTCCTCGGAGGGCGCGCGGGACGGCGCCGCCCCGCACCCGCACAGCAGCCGGCAGGCTCTGGAGGAGCAGTCGGGAACCCGGGGACGCTGGCGATCGCTCCTCCTGAGCCGCCCACGCGGGGCGGGCAGCAGGTGTGTGCTCGGGGCGGCCAAGGTCCCCGGGCAGCAAGCAGGCTGCAGAGTGGACAAAGCCGAAAGAAGTCGATCTCTCTTTCCCGGGGCCGGGGAGGGGGCGCACAGCTCTGCCCATCCTTTGCCTTTCCAGAAAGTACTCTGGCACCTGGCGGAGGTGCCCTGAGCTTAGTAGTCTTCAGAGCCGAATCGAGATGGACAGACAAAAACACTCACACAGAGCCAGGCCTTTCTCAAAGAAAGTATCACCCATGGATGATGAAAAAGACAGCGTTGGGAGTTAGTTTCCAGAGGAAAGGGGAGGGGGGCGTGAATGAGAGTTAATTTTGTCTAGAGCCCACCGTGTTAACTCTGAAGATGACAAAGGTTGGGACATCTTGGAACACGACAGTTTTGGACAGTGCATCAGCCATGGTCTGAAAGCTGTTCATGAAGGAAGTATCTTGTTGACCAAGAAACTGTGATAGACAGGGTGAAATGTGAGCCATCCAGGCTGACCAAAGGATCCAGGTTGCTCTTCAGTGAGAGACAGGCCAGGCCAGAAGGAGCTGCCCAGTCTTGTAGGGCCAACCCATCTATCTAGGCCGAGAATCAATAGTTCCTCTTCTGAAAAAGGCAGGTCAATGCCTGTTAGATTTCAGGGGAAGTGAGAATATAGGTTAAAAGCTTTTGTGGATGACCCTAATTTTTGTGCTTCGTTATGTCGCCCGTCATAAGCAGCCACCATAAACTCCCCTGCCACACCCACCCACGGAATAATCTCATGCATACCAGAATGGAGCTTCTGCTTATCGGAGCATGTCTGGACCCTGATTACAATAGCCCTAGCTATGATCACCTCGCTCCTAGTTTATCTCTGAATTCTTTGTGTACACAAATCATTTGACCACAGACCACCCACCTGGGGCAGCTCTTTACATTTAATCCTGTTTTGTTGTTGTTGTTGTTGTTGTTGTTGTTATTATTAACTTAGACTTTACCTCCTCCCACGAAATTAAAAAGAAATTCTAGCTGGGCAGTGGTGGTGCACACCTTTAATCCCAGCACTGGGGAGGCAGAGGCAGGTGGATCTCTGTGAGTTTAAAACCAGCCTGATATACATGAGCAAGTTCTAGAACAGACTCCAAAGCTACACAGAAAAACCCTGTCTCAAAAAAGCAAACAAAAACAAAACAACAACCAACCACATAAGCTCTCCCACCACCCCAGGCAGATTCCATTATATATTTATTGATGGGAGCCTATGGGTCATTTGTATTTGGCCTCAACCTCCAGGAAGTTCTCAATTGCTCTACACTTCAAGGTGTGGGAGAAAGGAATCTCCCTCACCATTCTGAGTCAACTCGGACTCTGCTAGAAATAAACAAAAAGCAAAACCTTGGGCTAACAGGAAGAACTCCTGGGCATCAACTCTCTAAGGAAAAGGAGATCCCTAGGGTCCCTCGGTCTCCCCGCTCTGAATACATAAGACTAACCTCTGTCAGGAACTGGGGCATCCTCTCAGTGTCTAGAAGAATGTCTCCCAGGGCTCAGCTGGCAGATGATGTGACTCTGCACACCCAGCAAGAATGAAAGGGCATGGTTGTGTGTGTACACGCATGTGCACATGCATGCCTCCAGACATTCACACATCTATGTGCATTTGTGTCCAAGAATAGGGATCAAGATGCAGCCTCAGGGCATTCATACAAAATTATGCAATGAACAGGTCTAGTGAATGAATATTCCTTAGCACTTGCTAAGGGGGGGATATAAGATGGAATGGATTTTTCAGACACTTTTTGGCATCAACAGCCAGGAAGGGAGTATCAGGTATCAGCCTGGCTCCTCAGCAGGCTTTTAGCCTGGTTTGGGGAAGGAGAGAGATGGGGTCAATTTTACTCTTAAATCTGGAGCAAACAGGCACCACCCTGGGCTTCTGCCAGCTGCACCTGGCCCCAAGAAGCCCAAACATCTGAGAACCAAGGGAACATCCACCAGGATCCATCTTCCCTGTGCCTGAGTGCCCAGGGCCCCAGAATTCCACTCCTCTAGCCCAACTCGCCTCCCGAGCTTGTGTGATATCTCCCTGAGGTCTTTCCTCCCAAGAGTGGGCCAACAGCTAGTGTGTTTGGCTTCAGGGAGTAGACAAGGGTGATTGTTTGCAGGGGTGGGGTAGGGGGACTTTGACAGGTGGGTAGGGTGTCTACACAAAGCCTCCAGGATGAAGCAAAGAGCCAAGAGTGAGTGGGAAGAGAGTATCAGACATGTTCCAGAGTCACGTGGAGCTGGTAAAGATGGTTGGGTCTTAAATCCTGCCCTTGAACTCGGCTCACTAGGTTACTAGGAGGGTCTGTGCACTAAAGGGCAAAGCTGGGTGTTTTCGTTCATAGTTTGCTTTCTCACCATAGACTTGCTGATACTTCTCTGCGATGCGTGTTTTTCATTGGCCTTCTTGCCCTCTCTCCTCAGCTCTGCTTCCTGACTCACCATGACATGAACAAGCAGGGCCACAACTCCGGAGCGGCCAGTCCGTCCCTTATCTCCCCCCCTCCCAGGGTTGATATCCCTGAAACCACAGGCCCAGATAAGCTCTTCCAACCTTACATTGCTTCTGTCAATGTTTTCTCACAGCAATAAGTAGATGCCACAAGGTCCACAAGTTCCAGTAAGTTCCACCACATTTTGAGCACTTGCTACATGCCAGACCCCATAGCGGGGGTACCGAGGCTCACAGAAAGAAATAAGACAGATGACATGTAAGTAAGAGACCACTCTACCGGTGACTTTTAAAGGGGAAGGGGGGGCTACATGTGGTGGCGCACGCCTTCAACCCCAGCACTCAGGAGACAGAGGCAGGCGGATCTCTGTGAGTTCCAGACCAGCCCAGTTTACAGAGCGAGTTCGGGACAGTGAGGACTGCATAGTAAGGCTCTGTCTCAACATTAAATAAACAACTAAAATAAAAAGAAAGCAGTGTGGACAAAAGACAGTGTTACCATGCTAATGAGTATTAATGACAGTCACCCTAGTAAGGTGACGATGAACCTTGGGACAAGTGGTGAATAAGTGCTAGGCAGAAGTAACAACTGTGCCAGATAAAGAACCAACCAGAGAAAGCATCCACAAACTGTCTGCTAAGCTCGAGTAGAGTCCCCAAGAATAGAGTGCTGGGCCTCCAAAGAGATGCCTATGACAAAGTCCAACACAGGAATGCGTGTGAGGGGTCACTTACAGGAGCAGAAATGACACAAACACAGCTGCCTCGCCAAAGCCTGCCCCAGCACAGTTCACAAAAGCTGGGGACCCGGAGCTCACTGCAGAGCCTGCAGGCAGCAAGCGTGTCCCTTCCAAGTGACTCAGTCGGCCCACGCCTCTTCCGCAGCTCAGCGGGGCCCTGCTCTGTCCAGGCCACTGGCTTGCTCTAAGACGCTTCTTTGCAGTTTTGCTCTGCAGGCCTGAGACAGATTCTCACCATTTTATTGCTGACTGGCAGGGAGGGACCTAGAGAGTCTGGTCTGTTTCAGAGACTTCATGAAGCTGTTTCCAGGTTTTCGTTTTGTTTTGCTTTTTAGGGGTTTTGTTGTTGTTGGTTTGGTTCGGTTCGGTTTGGTTTGGTTTGGTTTGGTTTTTCAAGACACGGTTTTTCTGGTGTAGCTTTTGGAACCTGTCCTGGAACTAGCTCTTATAGACCAGGCTGGTCTCAAACTCACAGAGATCTTTCCGCTGCCTCCTAAGTGCTGCGATTAAAGGCTTGAACCACCACCACCAGGCTGGATTTTCTTTTCTTTCCTTAATCTTCTTGCTTAAGAAACTTCCCTGCAGAAGGAATGTTTCAGTGTCAGAGGAATCTTATACAAGGTTTTGTTCCCAACTTTATAATGTTATGGGGGAAAAAATCAACTTCAGAACGACGCTATTACAAGCAGAATATTTCCGACGTCAGGACGGCATCACTAAATGTTCAAAGTAGGAGGACAGAAGGAAAGCTTCGTGAGCCAGGATGTAGCTCAGTGGTAGGGCACTTGCCGCTAGGTTCAACTGCCAACACTCAGTAGCACATTAAATGGACTTAAGGAATTAGAGGGTACAAGGTCCAACAGGGACTGCCCTCGGAAGGGATGGGTGGTCTCACCAAATACATAATAGCAAGAACAGGAGCTTTTTCTAACTAATGTATCAGCTCAACTGGAACCCTGGGTCCCAATCCTAGCAACTAATTAAAGTCAACTGGAGTCCGATAAATAAAGCATGCCATCCCTGGGCCACACCTCCAGTAATTAAGTTCAAATGTCTGCACTTAAGGCTTGGGCAATGCTCTGTGTAGAGGGCTTCCTGGGATTTTCATGCGCTGTCCGGGATGGAAGCCATTCGGCGCCAGTGATAAATGCTGATGGCCAAAAACCAGAGAGAAACTGGCACAGAGCAAGGACTAAGCTGTGGGGCTGAGGATCTGAACTGCATCTGCAGGCAATGAAGTGTCGGTAAGGATCCTTTTGGGATATTATTAGAATGGAGCACAAGAAAGATGACCATTAACAATGTATAAGGCCATTCGGAGAGGAAAGGCTGGAGAGCGGAGGCCGTTTAGGAAACGGTGAAGGATCTGGACATCACCTACCGTCAAGGAGAGCAAGCTTCAACTTTTTACCCTACACATTTATACAAGAGCATGGGGAAACTGGCATTCTCAGTCCTGCTGATGGAAATGTCAATTGATGTAAGCATTTGGGGGGGGGATATCTTGGCACTTATCTATCAAAATTTAAAATTGGCTCAACATGTAGCCCAGAAAAGACCCCACTCAAAAT